AGTGCGCACTGAGCTGGGAAGTTGGCGAAGAGCTTGGCGACGAGTTGGCAAGGCGGAAGTGGAGGTGGAAGTTGATGCAGACATGGTCGAGGAGAAACTGGAGGAGGAGGCGAGGAGGAGGACGACGAGGAAGAGGACAGCTAGTCGAGGAGGAGGAGGAGGAGGCGGGCAAGAGCTCTGATAAAATCTAACAACCCTCACCTGGCAGGTGGGGAACAAATGTTCCAAACAGACAACCAACCAGTTATAGATATATCTACCATAAACATCCGTAAACCATAGGTTGCCGAGTATAGCCTAGTTACAAACCAACGTTAATACAACGTAGCTATCTAGGGGGCCCCAGCTCACTGCCCAAGCCCGCACCTCGCATGCAGCGCTCGCACACCTCGGCGAGTGAAATCACAAAGCCCGGAAGTGGCTCATGGATGCACATGGTCTGGGTGGAAAATAGATTTTCATGACATGACAGTGCCAGTCCAACTTACTTCACCTCATTGATGGTAAAGTCTCCACGTGCATTTGCACCCAGACCTTCAAGGTTCGGACACCTGGGCTGTTAACATCGTCAATCCGAGTCAGAAAATGTCCAGGTTTATCGAGTTTGTAGCCCTATGATTCCGGTACTCTTTCGAAACAGTTCGACCCAATCTTCAAGTCAAATTACAACACACTTTTTGCCAGCAAGTCTTTCTGGCGTGATATCTAATATCCCATTTTTTTGGGGGGCGGGTAAACTCAAAGAACCACGGCACACATTGGAAGTGGCATCTGCTTCAGCCGCCTGCGGAGCTGGGCGGGGTGAACTTGTGAAGCACTTATAAAGTACAGGCATGAGGAAAAACTGGAAGATACCCTCTGGTAAACTAAGAGTTTGCTATTGGAAATGGCCCATTTATAGTTGACTTACACTTACCTACTAAAAGTGGTGATTTTCCATAGTTATGTAAACGTTTACCAGAAAAAAGGGTACCCTCCTGCAAACATAGGAAAAAATGTGGAAAACCCGGGGTAAACCCACCATTTCTGATGATTTTCCAGGGAAAGACCTGGTGCGTTAAACCCACCTTGATGTCTGGGACTTCAACCCACCGTATGGGAATCCAAGGGGGCGAACGTTCGGAAAAATCTTCAGAATTCTGGGTTGTTTTAAATGCTACCACGGAGTTTTAGTACTAAATAACTCTAGGAATTGGAAACATATTTTTTTTTGTGACTATAACTTGAGTTTTTACTGGTTTATTTAGGTTGGTCATCCCATATGTTTCTTAAATTGCTTAGACGTCAACCCCACTTCTTTTTTTGGGTTATAGATTTCCAATGTCAACCCAGGATGAGTCCATTGGTAACCTCATTTCCCGGCACAACTAGAGTACATTGTGTGTATATATATATCAAAGATACATATGTTCTATATAGTTTTACTATATTATGCTATATAACAATATAGTTGGTATATTAACTATTCTATATATATATATATGGTTTATCTTAACTGAATGATATCAATATATGCTGCAATATGTCTATGTATATTTATATGCACATAACCCTGCAGATGGGACAGCCACAATGACTTGCAGTATGATTTTGGAACCAGTTGCCAATTGCATGCACACTGAATAATCAAATATTTCCTATTGACATTCTCCACTTTTGGACCCACATAATATCCATCGTTCATTGGCTCATTCCAATATCCATCGTGCATTGGCTGAATCCGCATTTGCTGGTTGTTCTGTTACATAAGTTATATCCTCATTTTGGTTCGTATATCCCAATTTTCCACAGTTGAATATAAATGCTTGATGGTCAAATCATCATTCTTCACCATGTCTGATCTTTAAAATCATGGTTAAATCATGATGAAAATCATCAAACAGCACTTCTGATGGTTAAATCCCACATTCTTCACCATGTTTGATGCAAAAAACATGCCATGACAACCCAATGTTAGCGCAAGCATCACGAAACTCACCCACCCGCACCATGGGAAAGGCCGCGCTATGCTCCTCCGACCTCGGTGGTTTTAGTCAATGGGAAGGATGACAACCCATATGTGACATGGAAAATAAACATGTGAACTAATATGTGAGCTATTGTGAACTAATACATATAACTCATATATATATAACTAATATATAACTAATATATAACTAATATATAACTAATATTAATGTATATACAACCATGTATATATATATATATAAGTAATATAGAACATTGTATATAGAACTTTTTGGGGACGCTGGTCCCTCAGGTCACCGTTTGGGGATTGCATCCCACTTTCTGGAAATGGATCTATACAGTACCTCATTTCAGTCGACAAATCTTTTCTGGTTGGTGGTTTCAACCAACCCTCTGGGTATATAATGACTACATATTGTGTAATGGATATGATACTGGTTGGTGGTGCAATAACCATCTTGAAAAATATGAGTGAAAGTCAGTTGGGAAGGATGACATCCCATGATGGAAAATAAAAGTCATGTTTGAAACCACCAACCAGACTTTTGGGTGTTTTTGGCTGGGCATCATTGTTCCATGATGTTCCCATGAATAGTCCTGGCAAGAGAAAAAAGACAAATCACCAAAACAAGGTCTATCAGGGTCTGCAGATTTCTGTTGATGACATACTCAACGGATATTGGGCTCAACCCCTCCAGTCAAGCATCGCGGTACCTGCCAGCCACCTTTGATTGTCGCATGGGAGGGCTGGTTTCTCAACCAAGGGTCAACACAATCATCAACCAAAAATTGGATAGTTCCTAAAATGGGGGTACCCCCAAATCATCCGTTTTGGTAGGACTTTCCATGAAATAAACCATGTTGGGGATTCCCCATGGAAACCCCCAATTGGGCATGGTTTGTGGCATGCTGGCCCCACCCCAGCTACTGCCAAGATGCGACATACGCACGTGAAACTTCAATCGCTCCAAGTTCCGTGCGGACTGGCGGGCTCGATCTCCCATTGGACGTGGCCAAAAACATGCGCCAGTTTGGTAAGTTTGATCTCAATAAATGGACTGGGAGCCGTGATATGGAGGTTTCCTAAAATGGGTGTACCCCTAAATTAAATCATTCATGCTAATTCAAACCGGATTTCCATTATAAACCAGCCATTTTGGGGATCCACCATTTGTATCCATTCATGGAAACCCGCATATGAATATCTGGATATACCGATTTCAAGCTATGTCGGCTATCGCCATCACAGCCATGAGACTTGGCCAGGTCAGTGAGGTCACTGCTACAACTTTTACCAATAGATCAATCACTGGATTGGTTTAAGGGAAAATTTACAGGAAACCATGGTTTTTACCATCAAATATAGGGCTTTCTGTAAATTTTCCCATCATCCAATTCTATGAATCAATACTTTCCACAAAATGGAAAGCATTTTGTCCAATTTTAGTATTTTATCTATCTATATTGGTATTATCTCTTCCCACACACACTAGTATCTATTGGAAAATATGATCTATTGTAGAACACACACACACACATTTGTGTTTTCTTTAGAGCAAGTGTCTATTCCAGCTATGGAAACAATACTTTGGCTTCTAAAATGCTATTCCATCTGTGAAGACCAGTTGGTCTACACAGGCCTTCTTCGTTTTTTCAAGTTCAGTGCTTTAAACACATGTTTTCCGAAACTAGTGATGAAACCCGCAAATCAAAACTTAACCTTTGTGCAAGATGAATTAAACTTGATCTAAATCTATATAATATGTATATTACAAATACATGTCATTGTATACATATAAATATCTAAATATATTCATCCAACATTTCTGATTGGAATCATAGTTATCTGGGATCATCATCTTAAGGGTTGAAAATTAAACATCATTGAAACCACAAACCATCATTGGCTATATAATTCTATATCCATTCCCCATCATGGTTCCATTTGAACCATGGTTTGCTTGTCAAATTTGCGCCTCCTTGTGCAAGGCTCTCAAGGTTTGCGCCACATCTTCCGTCGCAAAGTGTTCGGCCAGGGTCTGCGTTGGGGTTGGGGTCCGTCCCGGGCCTCTCTTCAAAACATGGTTCATGTCGGTGATTTGAATATCAATGGCCATTTCAGGAATCTAAATTGGAGGTACCTACCATATATAAGGCCTATATAAGGCCTAAATTTCAGGGAATATCCCCACAAAATATGGCCGAACATATGGTACTAGCGTACCTCCATTTTAGGATCCTGGAATTCCCATTGATAATAAGGCACCAACGAATTCAAAAACTTGGAGTTTATCTATCCGCTGACCCCAGCCGACAGTGACTTGTTTGAATATATGCGAAATTCCAGCAGAAAAAACCTGGGATTCAACATCGTTACCGTGGTAAAAATGCCTGAAATAAACAATTATTTTTGGGTGATGAAAAACACTGGAAAGATGGTTTACCCTCTGGTAATTTAACGGTTTGCTATTGAAAATGGCCATTCACAGTAGATTTTCCCATTGAAACTGGTGATTTTCCATAGCTATGTGAGTTTACCAGAGGGTATTAACCATGATTGGTGGTTTCAAATGGATGGTGATGGTTTAATAGTGATTAATAGGGATATTTTCCTGGTGATTTAATGGTGATTAATCCTCTGGTAATGGAATATGAATGGCTGATGAATGGTCAACAAAAAACGATCTCCGCGAGTTCCTGGTACTGGAAGCTCCAAGTTCCTACGGCGTACTACGGTCATCCATCCCAACAAAAATACGTTGATAAAATCATATGGTGATTTAACCACTATAAATGGTGACTATAAATGGTGATTTAATGGTTAACAATGGTGAATAATGGAATGTTCATGGGATTTACCGATAAAATATACAAATCATATACCTGCATTAAATTACCCTCCAGTAAATTAACATAGACCCTGGTAGATAGGGGTTGGAAGATTAGTGAAACCACTAAACATTGGTTATTTTTAGGGTCTATGTTAATTTACCAGAGGGTAATAATTATGGTTGGTTCATTTCTCTATGTTTCCTCAGCAAATTCCACCTAGAGACATCGCTGTCTGGCCAGCCACCAAGTCTCGACTGTCTGGAACCTCAAGATTGCTGTTAGTTTACATAGTTTACTAAACATGTTATATACTACTCTTACCCACTTCTTGCAGGTAAAAAAAAAGTGTCTAGATCTGTTTTTTCCCAGACCGACACACCAAAGTTGAGCCGCCATCTGCTGTCATGGCATCATGGCATCTGGCAGGTCTGGAGCAGCTTCCGAAGATTCCACTGACCGCTTTTCTCACAGGAACTGATGACAGCGTTTCTGGTGATGCTGTCCGGAACCAGCACTGCCCGATACATCCTCTGAAACAAATTCATGACTCGCTGCCACTGAGCAGATCTTCCACAAGCACTGATGGTTGCATTGTAGCTCACAAGTTGCCTTGGGAATGCGTCCACATTTTTTTGCGAACTAAAGACGACACCGGAAAATCCCGTACTTACACTGGTTGATTAAGGATTGCCAGTTCAGCATTAAACAAATCACGAAATCTAGACATATATAGATATAGACATACAAATGGCTTGCACCAATGAAGTCGAGGCTGTCCCTCCGCCTTCGGGACTCAGGTCAGTGAATAGTTCCCTGCACCAAGAACTTTCCACAACAAATTGCTTGAGGGTAAGGTAACAGGTGAATACTCTGTGCTATGCTATCCGGGACAAAAATGGGCGGGCGCAACAAACGGCATGGCTTTCAACCAAACAAATTCCCGGTCGAAAAGTCCCAAGTCACATGAGCATAGAGAGTCACAATAAATGCCACCCAGTTGCGGCTGGAGTTTTGCCAGAGTCATCCTGACAAAGAAATTGAGTGCCTGCTGCCATTGACCTCCCTTCTCGCACGCACTGATTGCTGAAGTGTAGCTGAAGATATCTGCATCAGCCTGGATGTGGATGAGAATCCACAAATGGCGTGTCTGAAAATGGTGTTTTTTCCGTATACCTCCGAATGGTCCCTTTCTGTTAAAGGAACTAGATTTTTGGGTATATACACTGCTTTCAGACAAACCCAATTTGAAAATCCAGAAAATACTGAACAAGAAACAGGGGCTTCTGGATTGAAATGTTGCCAACAATGGTTTGAGAAATGATTCTGTGTGATGTTCATCTACCCGTCGTGGCTTGAACATCTAGAACCAGAAGAATGAGAAATCACCATCTGGCTGACACCGCCAAGCAGCCACTTTTGATGATAAAATGAACTCAAAGAGTTCTAACGCCAGTTCCCATTCACCCTGCTTCTCGCAAGCGCTGATGGTTGCATTGAAACTAATGATGCTCCGTTGAATGTCATCCTTCTGCATATCGTAGAATAGCCTCAAAGCCTGCTGCCAGCGGCCCGATTTCTCACAGGCACTGATGGTTGCATTGTAACCTCTGGTTGGCCCCAACCCCAAACAAACAAGCAAAGACAACACAACACGACACAACACAACACAACACAACACACCACAGCACAGCACAACACGAGACAAGACAAGAAAACAATCAAACAATCAATCAATCAATCAAACAAACAAACAAACAAAAAACAAAGAAACAAAGACTTGGGAATGTCTCATCATGTCCCATCATTCCATTTTGGTAGGAATTCAACAGCCACAGCAACTTATTAAACCATCGGCCAGAAACTGATGGCATCCATCACCACTTTGATCCTCGACAACGACTTCAAGAGTTCTATGGCCTGCCCCCACTGTGAAGCTTTTTCACATGCGCTGATTGCCGCGTTGCCGCTGACCACGTTCACTTGAATGCTGGCACTGGGCATAGCTTGAAACAGAAAAAACAGAGCCTGTTGCCAGCGACCTGCCTTCTCACAAGCACTGATGGTGGCACTGAAACTCAAAACGTTTGGTTCAACTGCGTCTTCGAGCAGGGCGTGAAATAGCCTTAAGGCAGACTCCCACTGACCGTCGCAAGCACTAATCGTTGCATTGTAGCTGATGGTGTCGCGTGGAACACTTTGCTCTGGCATCCGTTCAAATAAATTTACGGCTCTATGCCATTCGCTACCTGCTGGGCAGGGTGGGTTGTCCACCCTGATTCTTCTAGATGGGAGCTCATCATCCCATTTTTTTGGAAAGAAAAGTAAGCAAACATGACACCACCTCTGAGTTTGTTGTTTTTATGGTCATATCGCTGTTGAACTTATAAAGGGGCAAACAGTTGCAGGCAAGTTATCATTTGTTGTGCCATGGACAGAATGTTGAATTGGGTAAGTACCCCCTACTGCAATATCAAACATCCCCTAGAAACCAAGGGTCTGTAGGTGATTTACACATATTTGGACCATTTAGGGGGTGTCTAATATTGGGATGGCTTGGAATGTTAGACTTAGACAACTTTGCCAAACCTTTTAAAAGCGACCCGTATTTGGCATCGATTTTAAGAATATAACGCTAAAAGTTGGCGATTTCAAAACCAATGCATTTAAGGCATGCTGCGGCATGCAAATTTCAATCACACTAGAAACATTATGAAAACATCATAAAACATCTATAAAACATTGACATATTCAAATCTTGGTGGTGAAATCCTGTCGTTGATGTTATCAAGTGACCCTTTTGGCAGGCACTGATGGTTGCATTGTAGGTCACAGTGTCACGCTGGATCTTCTGCTGCGGCATCCTCAGGGTGCTTATGACTAACAGTTTGCTATTGAACATTGCCATTTATAGTGAGTTTCCCATTAAAACTGGTGATTTTCCGTAGTTATGTTAGTTTACCAGAGGGTAATGATTGATCGTTAATGGATGATATAGGTTTCTGTTGCATTGGGTGCCTCCAATAACAAGGATATCTCTACCGTTGAATAGGTGAACAGAAACATAACTATGGAAAATCACCATGTTGCATGGTTAATTCCACTATTTCTATGGCCATTTTCAATAGCAAACCGTTAGTTACCAGAGGGTACCGTTTTATGATGCGACCCTCACTGCAACCAGATGGAAAAATGATGGAAAAATCGCCTCCACCGAAGCTGAAACATCCCCAGAAACCATGGTTGATACCATGGGGGGTTTACACTTTTTTGGGGTCATAGAATGGGGTGTTTAATAACTCAATGGCCATTTCAGGATCCTGAATTGGAGGTACCTACCATATATAAGGCCTATGTAAGGCCTATGTAAGGGAATATCCCCACAAAATATGGCCTTATATGGTACAGTACCTCCATTTTAGGATCCTGGAATTCCCATTGAATAACGGGAATGAATGATGATCATACTACTCTATGACTATCTACCCTCTGGTAAACTAAGATAGCTATGGAAAATCATTATTTTTAATGGGTAATCCACTATAAATGGCCATTTTGAATAGCAAACTGTTAGTTTACCAGAGGGTATAGAGGATATTGAATCCAACATTCTATATGACAATATTTGTGGGATGAACGACCAGGATCGATCGCTAGTCCATGGATTAACCAAGGCCCCTTGTTTAGCCACGTATCAGATATACATATGATGGAGAATGCATGACCTATCTTCCGGTCATTTGTACTAGCTTCTCCATCTGTATATAAATGTATTACCATATATATATATATACTCTAATAAATATATCCCAACACAAATCTTAGGTATCTTAGTGCATCAACCATAGAATTTGCGGGGAAAACTCAAACCAATGTTGCAATTTGGACTGGACCCGTTTCTTCTTTAATAATCTAAAATTATTGTTCAGTTGTGTGGCTTAAGTTATATAATGTTTTATACATCCCGGATGATTTCTTGGTCAATGGCTCACAATTTAATACAAAATGTAGGAGATTCAGCAACCATACGCAATTTGACAAAGTCGGGGGCGCTTGAAAACAACACCAAAGAAGGGTTTTTTGATCACATTTACAAGATTTAGCAACCATCATTTTCTGTTTGAAAATCAGGCGTCTCTTGGAATAGTGCAACTGCTCGCTGCCATTGACCTCCCTTCTCATTAGCGCTGATGGCAGCGTTGAACGTGATGACGTCACGCCGAAGCCGGCTCGTTGGCATGGCATCAAACACACCTGCTGGATTCAATGGATTGCTGGACAGGGCAAATTTACAGTACCCGGCCTGGTAAACGTTTACAGTTTGCGAACTGGAAAATGGTCCATAGAAATAGTTGATTTATGTTGATTTACCTGGTTACCTATTAAAGATAGTGATGTTCAATAGCAAACTGTTAGTTTACTAGAGGGTAAACCATGACTTTTCAAATTGTGACACCGGGTCTGTGAACCCGCCAATCTGTCGGGTTTTTTTCCGTCATTGGGGTTCAGCCGCCGGTCTCAAGTTATATCTGCGCAAGGTGCGACTCGATTCCCCTGAAGCCATTTTGGAAATACGTGAAAGTTGTTCTGGGGGAACATATTTGAAACCGGCAAACTGTATGGATGTGATTATATAGCAGTATAAGATAGAAAACGTTTGAAGCCCTCACAATGTCCAGAAACTCATGGCATTCTGCCATGCGGAAGATTTCTCACACGCACTGATAAAGGCGTTGTGACTGATGGTATTGGGTTGAACATCTGCTTGCGCCATTGCATGGAACATGCTCCACGCTTGATACAATTGACCTCCCTTCTCAAATGCACTCATGGTGGCATTGTAGCTTATGACGTCAGGTGTAAAGTCGTTCTGGCTGATTGCCGCAAACAGACTCAACGCTTGCTGCCATTCAGCAGCCTTGGCACAAGCATTGATCACAGTGTTGTAGCTAATCAGATCCACCTCAACTGCTTCCGGCATCGTTTCAAAGAAAGTCAAAGCCTGTTGCCATTGACCTCCCTTGCAATATGCACCTAAGTGGTTGTAAACCGTAACCTTGAAAGGTAGTGTGGTAGGCCCAGTGAGAAACCATGATTTGCCAAATTTTACGTGTTGGGGGTATTAAAGCCCATCACCCAGTCGGGTTTATTATTTAGGTTTACTGTTTACTGGGTTACAAAAGAATACAAAAGCAAATCAAAGTGGCCTTTCTTGTCTTGGGCCAAGAGCCAAAACTATGTGGCTCAAATATACTCAAACTAGCTACAAAATAGGCAACTGGTCAAAATCAAATCAAGTGCATTTCATCCAAAAGTAAACACTGACTGAAATTAGCAGCCAGATACTGATGATGGTATTATAGCTTACAATGTCAGGCACAATGTGTTCGGTCCACATCGCTTCAAAGAAATTCACCGCCTGCTGCCATTGACCACCCTTCTCGCAAGCACTTATGGTTGCATTGTAGGCAAATATGTTACCTGGCAGGTATTTTCAGTTCATCCCCAAACCATCAACAAGCTAAAATCACTGGAAAACAAAATGGGATAAGAATGGATAAGATACATATATTTCATGACCCCTTTACTACGCGAATGATTCTCAACCATCTTATGTTGGGTTACCAAGTTTTCAGACAAACCAAAAAAAAACATACGCTCCATGTATGGTATATTACCTCCATTTGGCATATGTTGGTGGTAAATGTTGGTTTAAATGTTGGTAACTGTTCCAGCACCATGGAGCATAGGGAGGTTTCCTAAACTGGTGGTACCCCTAGTTATCACCCATTTATAGATTGGATTTTCCATGAAATAAACCATCCAGCGAGCTTGGGGTACCCCCATGACTATGGAAACACCCATAAGTGCCAGGGTCAAAACTCAGTAGGTAGGGTATGGTCATCCCATTATAATAGGGTTCCTTCTTAATGGTTGTTATAATTACCTATTAACCATTGGATGACCATCCCCTATTAATGGTTACTAATACCCAGTATTGACCATTGCTCATATGGCAAAATGACAACTCGCACCATTCACCAAGCAGTTTGCGCTTCACATTCATCCTGGGCATCGCATCCAGAAGAACGCAGGCGTAACGCCACTCCGTGGAGCGAGCGAAATGGGAAATCCCAACGGTACAGTCGCGCGCCGTGGGATTCTTCGTCCTGGGACAGCTGGATGTGGATTTTTTATATGGGAAAGCCATGGAAACCCTGAAAAAAACACAAAAAAAGGTTGGTCATAGTTCAAATGGAAGTGAAGAAAACATCAGGAATATGACAAACAATTAAGGCCGGTCAATGAAAACTGTTCACCAAAAAGTACTCGCAATAGAATATTGTCATCAAAACTTGCGTTTGCAAGCAAACATAACAGTGACATGGTCAATCTCAAACCTCTGCAAGAAAGCAATGTCGATGTTCAGCTGGGTTTGTCCCCTTTACAGCTAGAAATTAACTACCTACATATCCCAACCAAGGTTTGCCCAAAATTACATTTGAGCAGAGCCCAACACTTAAAAATCCTAAATCAATGGCTTAAAACTGAGCTTACCATGGTTTGCCTAAGGAATAACCAAACCAAATGGCCTCGAATGGGTTTACCTTAGGACTTTCTCAGACTTTCTCAGACTTTCTCAGACTTTCTGTATTGCATCTCTGGTCACACGGTTCCATGGGTTTCAAATCCCAACTCAGTCCTTAGGACTTGCTTCAAACTCATGGAGAGATCATTGACCCCCACTTTGAGCCAAAATTCACTGCTGCAGCTGTTAAGGGTTTCGACTTGGATGGAAGAATTGCAGGACAGACCCATTTTCGAAGTGGCAAGCAACCTGCTGGTTGGTGGCATACCCACCCCTCTGAAAAATATGAAAGTCAGTTGGGATGATGAAAATTCCCAATATATGGAAAATCATAAAATTCCATGTTCCCTCTGGGATGATTATATAGTCACTTGGGATGATTATTCCCAATATATGGAAAAATAAAATTCATGTTCCAAACCACCAACCAGACCTGGGTTTCTTCCTTTGAAGGCTCCAACGGAATAGCTGTCCAACCTGTCCATAAAACAGGTGGGGGGATGGCTTAGGTTCCCTATTGCAAACAAAAATCCTGCCTTAAACTTGCCCAATGATTGTAAACAGAGTGCACACCTGAATCCATCTGGATAGAGTATCATAGTTCACTACAACCTGAAATAAGACCAAGAAATTGGCATAGTTTCCCCCAATTCTAACCACCATTTCAGGGTTCGGTCGCAGATTTTTTTTACTGACATCTTGGCCCAGCTATCGCCTTTCGAGCTGCATGATGATCCTCAACAATTGCCAAATGTCACATGGAACTCATATTGATACCCTCCGACAATCCGAAAATCCACCATTTCTAGTTGACTTTGCAAAAACAACTTCCTTGACAGGGTATTTCAACTGCCATGTTACCGCAGGTTTTTTTGTCGATGGCAGCAACCACCATTTGATGTGACGTTTGAGGGGCTCAATTCTGGGCCTTCATATTCCAAGGAGTTGCTAAGATCACAAGGTGGAACTGCTGGCATTGTTGGAGTCCTGTGAGTTTATGATGGATATACCCACAAGTGGAATCAATAGGCATGGGTGAAAATATGGAGGCTTCTTACAACAGGGGTATGTACCCCCAATAGCTGGATGGTGTATAATGGAATCTCCGTTTAAACTGGATGACTTGGGGATACCCTCTCATTTTAGGAAGCCTAAAACCTCCAACGGCTGGATCATTTTTGAATGTTCACCACATTTTCAGTGTGAAATAACTCCTTTCTGCTGGTTCTACCTCCATTTTGATATGTCAAAACTCCATTAACATCAATCAGGGGCAATGATCGGAAAGATTCGGACTTTCGGACTGTGCTTTCTGTAAATAAGACTCGTTGAGAAATCACTAAACGCCTATAGAGATTCATTCCACTTACAACCCAAACAATACAAAACATATACCCTCCAGTAAATTAATTGGAAGATTAGTTTTCATTACAAATTGGTGATTTTCAGGGTCTATGTTTATTTACCAGAGGGTAATATATATATAAATACATATATATATATATATACACACGTATATACATAGGAACCTTTGATTCTCCCAGGGACTGACCCAAAATGTGGTTTCTCTCAGGTTCAACGGTTCAACGGTCGCCGCTTTTTGTTTTCGTAAGCGAAGTTGTCTCTGTTACAACTGCACCGTCTCAGCAAAGGTTGCGCAACGTCGCGACGCCGCGGAATCACTTGGATTATGGAAACGACTGCCTCTGGTCACTGCACGAATTTTCCAAAAGCAGCTTTAGCAAGGAGACTGTGATCCAAAACTGTCAGACACTAAGCTGTTTACTAAGCACAGCCTATAAACTAAACACATGATCTCAAAAATAAAGCATGACCAACATCTGAAGGTTCCCCTGTCAAAAGTGATTTCATCTACAGCAACCCATGACCCCCAGGCTGTTCTCCAAGGCTAGGGAAAGTCGTTGTTCTTCCATCTCTTGCGGCAGTCCTGATATGTTCTGAAAAACACTGGCCAATAACACCGACATGATTGATTCCAATACAAAATATTTTTTGTTAGGCATGCTTTCATTCACAAACGTGACTTCAGGCTGTCTCCGGCAGTTTCTTTTCACCTGCATCTGTCCAACCAACATCAACCAACTATGTATATATATATACTGGTTGGTGGTTTTAACCATCTTGAAAAATGAGTTCGTCAATGGGAAGGATTATCCCATATATTATGGAAAATAAAACATGTTCCAAACCACCAACCAGTATATATTGATTGTGTATCCCCATAGTATCCCCATCGCAGCCCCACATATTCAAATTATATATCCAATGCACCAATTGGGTCGCTTTATCGGGATTGACCTGTTTATCAACTCCAAATTTGAGGTTGATACATTCTGGCTGAATCAGATTAACATATATATATATATTAATTCACTAACCTGCAAATATTAATTCACTAACCTGCAAATAGCTGAAATGTTGGACCATTTGGGGATGATTCCCCTCACTAATCATCCTGTGACGCCACATTGAGGTCATTCTAATTCATCCAAATACATATAGACACGCATTGTATAAATACATATAAATACAATGTGGGGCCCCCTGGATAGCTAAGTTGGTTTATGACTTCAATAACTCTGGTTTATGATACCTAGAACTATAGTATCCATGGGGTTTATAAACCAACATTCACATAACTCGGGGGCCCCCACATTGTATGGATATACAATGGGTATCAATGGGTACTTGGGGGTGCAGTTGTAGTCCCTGGGAACCTCACCAGACGATTGTCCTTCGCCATGCGACACGCGACACTTGGGAGTGTCTGAACATGGGGAATACGATGGAATACGCCAAGACGGCGATGTTCATAGGAAAATGATGATTTCGGGATATACAAAATTCATCAACAAAGAAGTCTCCATGTAGATGCGTAATGGTTGTTGATTTTATGCAGCCACCAGTGCCAGCCATGTGCAAAATGCGAATTTCACAGCTGTGCATCAATGTTCATCATCACCTAAGTGCAACAGCACCACGGGGTGCTAGACAAAATCATCCAAACATTCTCTCACGAAAAGATATCAACTCACAAACATTTAAGATAGAAATTGAACACACATGGGGGGTTTCCATACATGGGGATCCCCCAAATGGTTGGTTTATAAATTATAAAGGAAAATACTATTAAAATGGATGATTTGGGGGTACTCCTATTTTAGGAAACCTCCACATTGTTATAACTGTTATAGTTCTATCCCGGTCTATCCCCATTAACATCCACAAACTATAGTTCTATTCTCCATTAACTGTAGTTAACTAGCAAAAATGTTTTCGATTTGCTACAGACCCTAAGGCCTAAGTTTGCTCTTCAGAACTGCGGAACTGTCGGTGGAATATTTTACCCAGCTCCCTGCCAAAATTGATATGTTGGGACTACAGTAGGCATTCTTGAAACTCATCTTCAATCACAGCCCTAGCCAGGAAACTATGAAACTAAATCTATAACTATAACTACCATGAGAAAATAATATCATATATCAGAATTCAGTGGTTTTGATCACTGGAAGCATTAACTGGGACCCTCAATGACAGGGCAATTCACATGCACTTCTCAAAACTCTATCACTTCCAAAGGGCTAGTAGTGATCAGCAGTGTGTGAAGTTTATTGGAAGGGGAATGGGAATGAGGGCCGCGCATCATATGCTGTACCACTATAGGCCAAATGTTTTGGGGGTAACCAATCCCTTGAGCAGTCTTGAGCTCCTTTTGCAGGGATAGCTTCAGTACATAATTACTTGCATGTTTCAATAGAATTCAATAGAGCCAAGTTTTCCTCTGCGCCACAAAGTTGCATGAACACGAATTAAAATCGTTTTCCGCTCCTGGGGCTTTACCTGGCCCACGCACGGGCGCTACGAAGTCGCGCCGTCCCGGTCATCCGCCAGCGTCGGCCGTCACAGAATCGATGACAACCAAGGACACCCGTAGAAAATGACCGACTAAGGTCACCTCCCAGTAGATTCCAGGATAACCATGCCATGCCGAGGCCATGCAAGAGGGCAACCTGACCTGCGCTGACTTCGAAGATGTCGACAGTGCTCCAACTCAAGCAAGTGCTAACCAGAAGAACCTCTTGCTCTTGTTAGTCTAGTAGTACTATGTAGTACTGGATTATGATTCCTTTTATAGCTCCTAGCTTTGCCAATCTTCAACTATTTCTCTGATTTGCATCTTGCATAATCTGATATACCCTGCAAAACAAACGTATTTCCAGCTTGGTATGACATAGGAACGTACAAACGGTTACCAGTCACTCAGCTTTGCCGGAACATACCGAACGAAGTTTGGATTCATAGATCTTGCTCAGAGCATTTGGGATGAAATCAATTGAAATCACCTAGTAAAACTACGAGATCATAATGAAAATAAGATCATTGCAAAAACAACACTACAGTACAGTACCATATGTTATACTGTCTATATATATGTATATGTACATATGACATGAGGGTATCTTAAATTGATGTCCTTTGAAATCATTGGGTGATTTCATGTTAA